GCTTTCACTGTTATTTATTTTTTTATTATTTAGGGAGCATTATAAATAGTTACATTTTTAAAAGAAAAAAAACTACTATTGTTATAAATAACACATTCAATTGAACTAAACTATGCATGCCTATTTAAATATATCTACACATGGCTTGTGTATATCGTATATATACATATATATTATTCATACCTTCGGTGTATATGTCTCAAGCAGATTTTGACATCAAATTTTGGGGTAAAAAGTGTGTCTTGTACACCAAAAAATACGGTATGTATAAATTATGCTTTTTTCTTTCTTGAATGTCTACAAATTATAACATGAAAACACAAATATTTAATCTAAATAGCTTAAATTTCATAACATTATACATTTATATATATATTTATCATTTTTATTATATTGACTTTCATCTGTGCCTGGCTAACATTATTGAAGTTGCAATGACAAGGTGCATGTGCACTGATGTTACCATACCCAAGAATATAAAGATGGCCTTTAAAAGGAACCTGTCTTGGCTGTGTTTTAGTGAAGTAGTATTTTGTAAAATAGTCACATTTCAGTTTTAATACATTATTACTCTTGAAAATAAGTTCTTAAATTTCGGTTATTTTTTTTAAACATAGAACAGTAAATAAAGAATTATAGAAAATAATTATCTCTTCTAGTTACGAACTTTGAACTCGTTTGCTGCTTGCCATAGGTTGCTAAGCCTCATCAAAATTCACACATGGAGGATACGCAATAAAATAATTTTTTAAAAGCTTTATGTATACATTTGGAAATAACCAAAAATCATAAATTACTATATTAACGCCATAGAATTTCACTATAATTTATCAAACATAGTGACTAAGCTGTATTTGGGTCTAAAAATATGGAATTTTGAGCTCACTAAAGTTTCACCTTACCTTTTCAAATCCAAGCTTTGAAAGAATGAGTTTGGTGCCGAATACTTCAGTTACGCTGAGAAAGCCACTAGGGAACATTCTGAGCATTTGATTGGTTATTCATACATTGTAGACAGAAGTAAGTGTACATAAGCATGTCTTTCCAAAAATGAAAAGAGGTGGGCAGGGCCACTGTGTTTGTTCAGTACATGAGTGATATCTCAGCAAATAGAAAAGATAGGAGCTTCTTATTTGATATTCTAGCTTGTTAATATCAGTAATTTGAGTTCCTAATTTGTAAGAAACTATAGACTTTGTATTTGAACGTCACAAACATCTAATTTGAATCAATGCTGCATTCAACATACCATATGACACACAAAAATTCATATTTAGGATTTGTTTTGTAATATTTACTTTTAAATTAAGATATTAACTAATGGATCACACTAAAATTTAAATTCAAATCTACAATTTCATATGAATCTGATTGCTGTCCAGACTACTGCATTCAGGAAACCAATGAACACATTCTTTGGAATCTTGTCAAACAGAACAACAGAAATAAATTTTGAAACACCCAGTATTTGACACATTAATCTGTTTTTATATGACCATTTTTTCTGTGTAGATAATTCTAGTGACTGATGGCAGTACTGGTATTGGGCCAAACTCATTAAAACAACGATTGCAAGACATTGGAACCAAAACAAAAGAAACGGAGCAGCGTTTTCCATTGCCGTTTCCATTCCCTAGCAAACTTCATGTTGTGTGTTTATCTAATCCAAAAGATAGCAATTTACAAGTGTCTATCCCACTCTATCAAAAACTAATAGATATGAATGGTGGAAATGGTCAAGTATTTGTTCCTGAAGGAAATTTGAACTTAAAGACTGTTCAGCAAATGTTCTTGAAATTAGCAGAAACCTACTACAGACCCTTTCATGGTACATTGCATTGTGGGAACCTTAACTGTAATATATCTCTTTCTCCACCTCCAGAAGCATGTGAGAAGATTAATGATTTTGATTCTCGCAAGGTAGAGATGTCAACAGACATTCTGATCTGTGGATTTCTAGATATTAACCAAGCATCCAATCCTCCTGCACTCTCAAGGCATCTAGTTTTGCCTATACCACCACAAAGTTTGAAAGGTATGTGGATGTAGTTTTATGAAATTATATACAATTTACTGTTTTAATCCGACATACTCGGGCGAGGCAAAGGGTGCATGCCATGACCATTTTTACAGGGTTACATTCAAAATTTGAATAATTTTATTATCAATATATGTCAATAAACTTGGCATCAAAATGTAGTTTTATAATTCAGATTTTAATATAATATATATATATATTTTAACTTCTTTATCTCAAAAGGAGATATTCAAATATATTCTCAATATTTTTTTCTCCAAAGTTCCAGTTTTAGATTTTCTTTTAAACCCTATATGATATTCTGAGTTTTGCACAAGTTACACACTTATAATATATATATCCCTAAGCTTTAATGCAAATGCTATCCTCCAAGCTTCATGCTTAACTGAAATATTAACAAGAAAGTCAAACCCATATGTCATGTCCCTTTTTTTTCACATCCTGTCTTTCCAAAAATTCAATACTTTTTCCTGATATTTGCTATTGGATTATTCATTTGCAATAAAAAGAAAAATTCTACTTTACTAAACTTTCTACAAAAAAAGCTCATTCATTTAACAGGTTTTATTGTTTGATATTGTACAATTCATTCAACCAGCTAACAGAATTTATCTAACCAATTTATATTTTAGTTGGAAAACCAGTTAGATTATATTAATTTTAGGACATTCTATTTACTGTGCCTGATAATATGTTATGTTCTCAGTTGCATATTTGAAATTAAGAATAATGTTTTTGTGGTAAACTAAAATTATTGCAAAAAAACTAGGATTAACTTGCTTTTAAGACTATGCTTCAGACATAAGTGCCAAATTGTTTGTTTTTTTATGTATGTTTTATATCTAAAACTAACTACAATGTAAAATTGAGAAATGTATTAGGTTATAAAAGTAAACTTAAATGAAAAAATTCAATAAAGAAATTAGTGAGGATACCAATTCTAAAGGTGTGATTGTGTAACTCAGTGTGCTTGCTGGTAACTCATCTTTTGGCCCATTGTGATGAATGGCTTTCATTGTACTCTGAGAAATTCTGACTGTTAAGTGCAGCTGTAAAGTAATAAAATTAAACAAACTCAGATTAAGCATCAATTTTGGTTGAAAGAATAAATAGTGTGTAATTATCTGTTACAATATGCAGTCATTCTAAAGAGAAAAAAAGAATAGTTTATATTTATTTGTATGTTTCAACTTTTCATCTTACTCCACATTGTTGATTTTGCCACACTTATTTTTAGGGTAGAAAAAAAGAGAAAACAAAATACAAAATTTAAATGAAAATGTTTGATATTTATATAAGAGGTTCTAGAGATTATGCAAATGAAATGTGAAAATTTTAGATGAAAAAAAGTTTTTTATTTTTAATCACTTAGCACTCAGACTGACTACTTGAATTCATAAACAAATCTTTAGTAAAATTATTTTATTAAAAATGATTTTTTTGTGTACAACAGACTTGTAATATTGAATAAAAGGTTGCTAAATTTCATGAAGATACACTTTGTAAATTCAGAATTATAGTAGACATTACTTCTCCAGTATGGGCTTGGTCCAATAGATCAATCTTGTGCAATATAGAATTGACCTCTTAAGTACCCATTATGTCAAGAAGGTTCTTGTTACTCCTCAAAAATTGTCTAGGAAAAAATGTAAATATGTTTTCAAGGAATATTCTCCCAGTCCATACCGAAATCCTTTCTTCTGATTTTGCATATTAAGAAAAAGGCAAATTGTAGTCAAGTAAGGGCATAAATGCCTGTAATACTGTATATATTTCATTAAATACAAGCTATGCTAGCTTAGGTTTATAAAACTATTTTTTTTTAAGTTAAGCACATGACATTTTTTAACCTGATTGTTTTGTAAAAACAATCTCCTAAAAGAGTTTTCCCAAAAAGTTTAGTATTTACAGTTTCTAAGTAATTATAGTTTACTTTTTTTACTGTGATAAACAATGGAAGTAAATTGATAGGCCTATATTCTGTTTAATATATATGTATACATGCATCTTAAACTTTTGTAGAAAAAATGAAAACTTTTCTTGTGTGTTATTTTCATTGGACATAGAAGGAGAATAATTCAAAATATTTGTTCATTTTAAAATGCTTTTTTTTGTTGGAATAAAGAATATGATAGAATTTTTTTCTATTACTACCTGTGCAGTTTAATACTTGCTTTGACTTTTTTTTTTGTACATATGTATGTTTTAGCAAGGAAATTTAATTAGAAGGAATTGTTCTTCATAATGTGTTTTTGGTAGGGATCAGGATCCATGTTTGTACTAGTTTCAATCTTGTTTTTTTTTCTTTTTTGAATATAATGTTTTTAAAAAGTTGTGTTTAGTGACAAAATATGTAGTTTTAAGAGTGTGTAATTAAGAAACTTAATTTCTTGAATTAAGAAAATTAAAAAAAGAAACAAAGAAACATTATGTGAAAATGTTAATATAGTGGAAATTTTATTATAAATAATTAGGTTTATAAATTTAATAAAGAAAAGATATTTTTCTATGAAAGGACTTTAGATACAACCTTATGTATCGTGTCGTTAAAAGATCATATCATTAAATGAACAATCCTTGTTTATATTTACACCTGGGCATTCCAACATGTCACTGAAACTGTTGGATGGACAAAAGGGCATCACCACTTGTTGTTTTCTGTCAACATTTTTACTTAATTCTGTGTGTCATTTTTTCTTCGTGTTTCTGGTGTTTGTATATACAGACTTCTTTATGGAGTGAGACAGAACATTACTATTGATATCTTTACCTGACAGCCAAACAAGGACATGATCTTAAGTTAAGTTTATGACTCGTGTGCCTGGACAGAAAGATTGATTGACAATCTCCAGAAGTAGCCAAATAAAGGCTCTGGGGACATAAATATTTATTTAGTCAATAGTTCTTGTCCTGAAATGTTTGGTCGTTTTAGCGTGAAAGCCTTTAAATCACTGGATGCTTAAGCTATTTCAGATTATCAATAGAATAATAGCTCTGACTTCATTGTACTATTTTTTGAAGATAATGAGATGCCAGGACACAAACTTAAGACTTAAAAAACACAAGCTATGCTCCAGTTTTATTTTTTAACGAGTTGCTATCAGCAGTAGTGGAGAACAGTATACTATTCAATTTAAGAGGAGAATCTATAATTTCCTGAGAAACTAAGGTTGAATTCAAATTTCTACTTTTCCCAAGGTTGTGCAAAGATAACCTTTAAAGACAAAATGACCCCTTAACTGCTGTCTGTAAGTTATGCTATGTATAGCCAGTGTGATATACAACAGGGCAATGCCATTCACTGTTTGCAATTATGAATAAGAAACTGTGTCTAACATTAGGCCTACAAACACAACTTAAAATCACAGTCCCATGATAAATTAGAAAGCACCAATCAGTATGAAGTTTACTGAATTAGTACAATGAAATAAGTTAGTACACAGAAGTTTGAATAACATGTTAAAGATGATATAAATGTTACTTTTCTTTTAAAAATTTCTACTATCTTTCTTCTCTCTCTCTCATGATATTATAAAATGTGTTTTATGCGTGCTTTAAGAAAAATGTTCATGTTTATTGATGCAAGGAACTAGAAGCTTTGCCATATTATGCTTTGGCGTTAGATTTCTTGGTGTGCATTATGAAAGGCAAAGCTACCCCTATCAGCAACTTAACAAAGAAACCTTCTGAGGCCTGAGTAATCATTAGTAAAAATGGGGGGGGGGGATTGTTACAGAATACTGCAAATATCTGGCAGAGTAAACTTTCATATGCATATAAATAGTTTGTTTCATAGGCTCATCTAGTAAGGTAGATTACAAATAGCATATATGACAACTTACATAATTTTTTTTACACTCATTTTCAGAATATTTTCTGTTATGATATAATGATAAAATACAGTTTATATGATATAAATATACAGTGTTTGATGACAGGCATGTACAAGTCTGTAAGTAATGTGGCTATTAATGCTTACCCAGTGGTAAAAGAGCAGGGGGAGCATTCTCTTCTCCCCTCGAGTTGTGTAGATGGAACAACCAGGAATTCCCATGACGACCAGAACTACAATGAAATTTTTTTCAAAAATAAAAACACAGTGTCACCACTTTGACACTAGCTACTCAATAACAAATACCCTTTTTCTACAAGTGATATCTGACAGTTAGATTCATGGAGAGTTGCTCACCCTGGCAAAAAGAAATTCCTATGCCACTGCATTGACTCCAGTTTTCCAAATGGAGTGAGTACCTGGAAGTATTACATCACAGTTATTAATTTCTCGTATAGCCATCAGATTAAATGCTGTAGTAACTTCTTTACCTTTAAATAATAATAAAATGGTTGTATATTTTTTATACAGAGGAGGGAAAAGCAGTGATGATGAAACAAGATATTGATGCTTCAGATGATGATGCTGTTGTGGGAAATGATGAAGGGAAGCAGCCATCTTTTTGTGTGCTTCTACATGGAAGCTTAAAAGTGGAAGGAATGGTTGCACTTTGTCACCTAGGGTAAGACAAAGTTATTTAAAGAAATTGTTTAAAAATTAAAATTATTGTATTTGCACCATGCAATTTTATAATCCTTGTGATTTATTTGTACCTGTTCTCAGAAGGATTTTGATGGGTGTACATTTTTACAAAATACATACACCTGACTTTTTCTATTAAGATCTTGTATCAGACTGCTTAGGTTAAGACAAAGTTCCAGACTTTCTAAATGCAAGGTACCTTAGTTTCTAAAAAAACCTCACATTTACCCTACATGACAAGTGTTGTCTATGTAACTGGTTATTCTCATTACAACATAGGTGGGACCATAATCACCCGAACAACCATTGAAGGACACTTCTCTTGGTCCTGAGGTTTACAACGCTAAAAGCAGGGGTTCAATTCCCCTCGGTGGACTCAGAAGATAACCCAATGTGGCTTTACTATAAGAAAACACACACGCTTCTGTTGACATTCTTACACAACAATGTTTTCTCTTTACAGTAGTGGATATTACCTACTTTGAGAAAAACCAAATATTACTATTGTAAGAAGAGTATAGAGTAGCATTTCAGTTGGGCACTGAGGCTTTTTGTTTTGTAAGTCCAACTGGGTTGCTGAGCTCTGGTCTTGTTCAATTAGCCTCATTGGCAGCATTGTGCTTCATTTAAAATGTGTGGTTGAAATGCTGTTACATTATTTTTACTGGGAAACATATAGGACCGCAAAAGATGTGATAAAAATTATTATACATTTTATTGGAATGTAGTATCTTATATATATGTATACATTATATAATGTAAGCAAAATTTTAAATATGATACGAGATGTTCATCAACACACTAAAACAAATAAAATGTACTATTATGTCTCACTTGTCCTTTACTAATACAAAGGGCGCGGCATGACCAGGTGGTTAAGACGCTCGACTCGCAATCTGTGGATTCGATTCCCCAGCACACCAAACATGCTTGCCATTTCAGTCATAGGGGCATTATAATGTGATGGTCAATCCCACTATTCAGTGGTAAAAGAGTAGCCCAAGAGTTGGTGGTGGGTGGTGATGACTAGCTGCCTTCCCTCTAGTCTTACACTGCTAAACTAGGGATGGCTAGTGCAGATAGCCCTCGTGTAGCTTTGCATGAAATTCAAACAAGCTAAAACAAAGGCATTTAAATTTGTGTGAAAACATTTTCAGCAGAAATATATATATATATATATTTTGGGAGTATTTTATTTATTACAATACCAAACTTTTTTTAGTATTTAGAGGAATTCTTAGTGATAGAAAAGAGACAAGGAAAATATAAACAAAAACAAACACAAAAGCTCACATCAAAATGTTAATAGTATTACCTACATTGATGAGTTTCTTTTAAGTTCTTATACATTTTTATAAGTTATTCATGTATTGTTTTTTAACATATTTTTTATCATTCCATGATATTTTTTAGATAATTCTGATTTTCTGTATTTCACATACTTTTGTAATTTTTACTCAAGAATCAAATCATGAAATTGCAAGACTTATACAATGGATGTATATATCCTAACAATTATTTTCAAGTTATTTAAGATGCAGTTATATATGATCATGGGTGTGTATGTTTAGGGAAGACTGGTATGGTATGCTCTGTTCGTGGGCGGACAGTAAAAAGAAATCTAACTTGATGCTGTCAACATTTGAACCAGGTGAGTTATTGTGACTGTATGTTTCATGAAATTTTTAAATAATCTTATCAGTTCATCAGTAAGATAATGTAGCTACGCAATATTTGTTTATAATGCATGTTCTGGTTGAGCTCTAAAATTATAAGATAAGTCTTATTTGATGTAAACTAGAAAGCTTTTTGGTTTATCATTATGCATGTTAATTACTCTTTAAGCAATGAAAAATTCTTTAACCTTTTTTTTACAATGGCTAAGGTGGTAGAATATCTGTAAGTCAGCCCTCAGATAATTCTAATGTATCATACACAAAACTTTTATTTACTTACATATTAACTTTGTGACAATTTGAAAGGGCTGTTACTTATAGCTTTAATCTAAGTTCATACTATTCGCAGTGTGATCAGAATACAAAAATGTTTAAAGAAGAATTTTTATGATTAACATTCAAGCAATCTGTGGACTTTGCCATCAGAGCATTGTACAAATGTACCCGAACACTAGCACTTCAAAAGTTTTGACTCCAGAATATGCTATTTCTTAAGGTTTTTTTTAGGATGGGTAATTAGTATTTTTATTTTGTTTTACAAAACTAAATATTTTTCTTAGTTGTGAAAATATTTTTCAGTGTTTAAAGGTGTAGTCTGAATGAATCTGGACTTTGATGAAACTTGGTTGAATGGATGGCAACTGCCTGTTGTAGAAACACAAAGTATAGAGTACGACATTTTGAAAGTCTTTAGCTTTTCGTCTTCAGGTGGAAGACTTTTGAAACATTGTCCTCCATACTTTTTTTTCTACAACAATCGGTTGCCATCCATTCAACCAAATTTCATAATGAATACTCTGCCTAAACGATCTATAAAAAAAAAATCTGCACTTTATTGTATATCCATGGTTAATTTTTTAAAACATTAAATCTTTAATTTCACATTTTTTTTGGCAATGTCTAATTTGCCTTTTGCTATAAAACTTGCATTTTCAGGACCAGACATTGAGCATGTAATGGATTCTTTTTTGATGTGTTAAAGATCTTATTCATGTTCGGAATGGAACATTTAAAATAAAAAACATTTGAAATTTAATAAAATAAAATATAGTAGATACTGAAGCAGGTTGAATATTTGCTTGTGAGTTAAAAACTTTACTGTATGACATTAGTAGATGAATCAAATAAATTAATTTGAAGCACTAGTGGATATAATCTATGAGTTGGGAAATATATTGTATGATGTTAGTAGGTGAACCATACAGATTAATCTGAAGTATAAACCTGTGTTTCCCAACATGTGTGATACTGCCCTCTAGTGAGCGTTTTTACACTTCGGGTGGAGGGGGTGTAATAAAATTTGAGGGGGTGGACAGAAACGTTTTGAGGGTTTCAAAGTTATATTTGTTAAAATTAAACCATAATAATTTACTATTATTGCTTTACAATTTTCATTTTATTGAAATATTTTAATGCTCTAAAAATTTATTAGAAGGGGGCATGAGCACTCATTGTTTGCTGGAGGGGCACTACATTAGATGATATAATCTGTGAGTTAAAAAAGATACTGTATGATGTTTGTAGCTGAACCATGCAAGTTAACCTGAAGCACTAGTAGAGTTAGCTAGTGTACTGGAGAACTTTTGCAAATAATTTCAACAATGCTTATAGCTTAGAGATATAGTTATTTATGATATTGTATTTTGTTCGTAGTAGAGCTAAACAATCATTACTTAGGCTAATTAATGCTCTCTAATTTTTTTACATCTTTAGGCTTAGAGGTGGTTCCATGGTTAGGAAAATTTACACAAATAGGCCCAGCTTCTTTACTGCCAGAGCTCTCCAAGTCAGTTACTGAAAATTCTTTTCCCATAAAATTAGCCGAAAAGCGAAGTTATGCACAAAATTGTGTTGTGTGGATTCGTCAGATGGCCTTACAGGTATGTAAGCTATGAATAAAAAGTGATAATTCTTATTTTACAAGGTTGTATAATTATGTATTTGCAAAGATAATTACTGTTAAAAAAGCCCAATCCATGTAAAACAACTAATTCTATTTACTGCCAACCATATTACCCTATCCAGCAATTCAGAGTTTAAGGAAACAAGTTGATTTTGTGTTAATGTTAGTTCCTTGAATATTATATGGTTCAATGGTAGATTGCTTTGATAAATGTTTTAAGTAAATACTAACTAAAGTACTGAGTTGTTTTGTTTATTTAGCAAGTCATCTTAAGGTAATACAGTAGAAACAGTATGGGGTTATAGTCACTTTCAAGTGATATTACATGAGGTGCATTAGTTTAGTAGATTTTTCATGTAGGAAACGTTTTTTTCAACCCTTTGAGATAAATGGAAACATAATAATTGAAAAATATTTCCACGTTAAGTTTATTTAATTTCAGTTGAAACAGTATAATTTATATTTTGTACAGTGGGTTAAAATTACATCTCATCTATTTTCATAAGATCTTTTAACAACTTCTTTTCCAAGTTTTAACCATAAAATTGGGAGCCAATTGTACAGAAACTAGTGGCCATCACAACATCCAGCAAATGATAAAAAGCAGTAAGACTGTCTTTCAAGTTTAGACTTAGAGCTTTCAAACAACATAATTTTTGTGCTTAGTAATTCATCTTGCAGAGAAATTATCATTTGAAAATGAGTCCCCCCTCCTTTTATGTCAAGATTTTGGTGATAGTCCATTGTCTTTTCCAAAGTCATTTATCTACAAGAACTGTTGAATGCAAGCTTGGAAGATGTGATGTTTACATGAAATGCATATGTTGTGGTTATAGTCAGAAAGAGATCATTCGAAAATGTAAGAATCCAATCAAAAGAAGATAAGAAAGCTATGAAGTAGATGGAGTAATAAGAATAAGATAATTTGTTCTTTTCATTGTAACCATTTTCACAGTATTATATCATTTAGACTAATTGACAGACCTCAACCAATGAAAGGCAAAAGAAATACTTGAACATTTGTTGTTGTTTTTACTAAGTGCGCAGTGTAAAAAATGTTCTAGATATCATGAACGTATTAAAAATCATTTTTACAGAGTGCATATCGAGGTCAAAATAAAGTGACGCAGAGCAAAAGTAGCCTTGCATTGGGAAAACTTTTTATCAACACCAAAACAACATTTTGGAAGCTTCTTCACGTTTTTTGTAGCAAGAAGTTGAACTCTAAACGTATGCATAGTTGTATATAAGAAATTGGTTGAGTATAATTTCTCTTGTTCAAAGTTGCCACCAAACATGGTAATTTTTGTACAACTGACTCCCTATTTTAGGGTTAAATAATTTTAAAATTATTTTTAAGTATCTTATATAGTGAATATAAATGTATGTTTATATTTAACTTACAAAAGCAAAATTAGTTTTTTACTGTATGAAATGCAGTTCTAGTATTAAAGATATCTTCATAAATTTTCACCTATGATTTGGTTTTTAAAGGCTGACATACAAAAAATTCTTCGGCATGCAAGAAAGCTTCCTGATAAAACACAAAATTTTTATAAGGTAAGTATCTTTGTCTATATAATTTTATATATGAGTATTTTGTGTGAATAATCTGTTTATTTATGTCATAAAAATAATTTTTCATGTATATAGAAAATTATTACAGTGTAAGCCTGTGGGTATGTTGTTCATGCAGATACAGTGTACTGACATAAGAAGTTTGTGCAAGGAATATTAAAATTAATATTGATGACCCTTATGAGTCATAGTGTAATGTTTGGTTTGGCAAAATGTTTCTGTTGCTTTTTTTAATATCCATTTAACAGTTTTTTTATGAGCTCATATATAAAACTGAATTATTGATTCAGCTTTCAAAACAAGAAAATAGTGTATATGTTTGTGTCTAAATTTTTCAGTAATAATACATTTTTTTTTCATTGAGAATAAACTAATGTTAACATACTAAAAAAAATGAGCAAGAATTCAAATAAAACATTTGTGGTAGTTTTCATGCCCTTTTCTTGAATTTTCCTTATTCTATCATTTTCACTCATGGCATTTAAGCTACACTTTCTTGCGGGCATTATGTGTTAGATTAATAAATCCTGGTCTATTTGAAAACATTTTACATAGTCAGACAAACAAACTCATGTAGACATAACTTTGTTTAGTAAAACTACATGTAAAGTAAACAATATAGTAAAGTAATGGTATTTATAATAGTGTACAGAGTATGACACAGTTTTATGAGTTGAAACAAAGAATAAAACATATAGTAAAGAAAAAGATAGCCAAAAAGTGTTTATAGCAGTTTATGAAATAAACTGAAGCTAAATTATTGCAAAGTAAAGTAAATGTAAAGTTGTAATAAAGGCAAACTTAGCTGACTATGCAGAAGCATCTGAATGCATGTTCACAAAGTGATAAGCATGTGGTTTTGAATTAACTGAGCATGCATACCTTTGACCTAAATAAGTCGAGAATGCCAAGAGCAATTGTATTTAGTATATTGTTCATTTTTTAAGAAATTACACATAGGTTAAGTGTTTTTTGTGTGAAATACTTTGCAAATAAAAAAAACTAAAGTTGAAATCGAAGACAGTTATCATATCATGACCATGACATTCTGTTATCATGTAGCATACTTGTTGCATTAAAAAGTCTGACTCAGCAAAAAACAGGTAAGGTGATTCTGAATGGAAAAGCCAATAAGCAATCCAGACTCCTTAGACAAAGGCCTTTATAACGATATGAGATTTGTAGCATTTGTTTGAGAAATTTCTGAGAAAAGTTCCAGATAGACAAATGCAAGCATATTATTCATATAGATGCATGAATTTACTGGAGTTGTAAGTCAATACTCTTCTTGATTTTTATAACTAAGCATCTGCTAGAGGAAATTGTCCATTTGAAGTGACTGAACATGTGTCCTGAAACATTTATATGGTGGCTTAACACTAACATTATATGTAATTCTCATGGAATCACTTTTCAGGAGAGCAAGATGATTAAGAGTAGCTGCATAATTTAAAAAAATCTGTTATATAAAGTACACACACATAGATACATAGATGTCACTAACTTATTTTGCTCTATTGTAGTGTGTTGTTGAAACTTCATTGAAAATAAATATTTTAAAGTAAATTATTTGTTACAGTTTTTAAGTTAGGCATAAATATGCTACTAAAAACAGTGAAAATAACCATTTTTTACAGATTTTGTACAAATAACCATAAAACTACAATTACTCATGAAATTTCACTAAAATGTTATAAAAGTAATCCATGCTTAAGAGTCATTAACCTTCATCTTTGACATTCCTGTAACTTCTACCCATTGTATCTTAAGTTTATTGTCATTTTAAGATTTTCCATTTACTTTGCTTTATTTTTAGGATCAGCTCTTCTTTTTTTATTCAAACTTTTGAATGTCTTTTTACCAGAAAATATCAACTATCCCATGGTATTGTTTGATATACCACTTTCAACTTTGGCTTTCCCATTTTAGGTATTCACCAGTTATATTGATGGAATATAAGTTGTTTACTTTTCTTATGATTGTGTAACTGCAAAAAGTTTTTTGCAGAGCACTTGCCAATATCTTTCTCTTTTTTTTCAGGACAGATAGTTGTGTATTTCAACTTGCCCTTCTTCTTCTTTCTTGATTCTACCTAATATGTACTTTCCAAGTCACTTATGATTTTTTCCAGCCCTTTTAAAGTCAGTGTTCACCAGTCTTATCTTCTTTTCAAAGATTTCAGGTGTTATTGATGTTAAGGTTTTGTTTAGTTTTGATTTCATATCCTTTAGCCATACTCATGTTGGGATAACACTGTTTGCTTGTGCTGAGAACATTTATTTTTCATACTTCTAGGCTTCTCATGATATTAACTGGGCTTTTCTTTCTTGTTGCTCTTTTAATGCAACAAACTCGTGAAGTCCATTCACAAGTGCTTTTAATCTTGCATACTTTCCTGGTGCATGTTGTTAATGTATTTCTTACTAGTTCATTCTGATGGGAATTTAATCTTTTCCAGTGTTAGATAGCGAAATGTGTAACAAGATCAAGTTATCTTCTCCTTGAGTTTAACATGACTCTTTCATGTATTCAACAGCCCCTTTCATGTATGACCATACTGTACAGGCATTTTGTACCATGAAGTAGTGGTGTTTTTTTGTGCTCTTGAGTATCACATGCCTCTGGTTGGGGTGGCACCAGGATGTTGTGTTTCTACTCTACAAGTTTGTTACACACTTCTGTAATGTATGATATTTAAAGTCCAGGGAATTTAGTCTATGAAATTTCATTTGTGCACATTTAATTCTGAAAAGGTTTTAATTTATTAACTAGTAACTTCAGAAAAGAAAATACACGAGATTTATATGCGAGAGTGTATTAATAAAAAGTACCATCTTGTATGATTTTATATATACATGTATTTAATCATAATATGATTTCCATAACAGGAGTTAAACAAGCTGCGACGAGGAGCTCTAGCTTTTGGATTTTATGAATTACTTGATGGAATGGCGATTATATTGGAGCGGGAATGCACATTACTGCCGGGATCAGCTCATCCTGATGCAGCTCTTCAGCTAACACATGCTGCCAGTGCCTTGCGATCACAAGTGTACAGAGATTACAATTCCTCCATCAAGCCTTTGTGTACAAAGTTCAGCTCAGGTGACTGAAATGATTCAAAATAAAAGCATCCAGTTATATTCTTTGGTAGGAACTTGGAGTCAACTTGAAATATTTGCATTGGAACCTTCTAATCATTTTACATTAACCTTGCAACGTAAATATTTTTTCCTTTTTTTAACTGAAGCAAAAAAATGTTTCATTGTTGCCAGTATGAATCTTTAAAAGTATATGTAAGTTTCATAAAGGTAAAATGTTTGTAATGTACAAGTGAGTCTGGCCAAGATTCAGTAATGTTTCTTAACTAGGTATCTAGGCTGAAATTTAAATAAAGCACATTATTCATAACAGAAACTTCATTTGATTGAACTTCAGTTTTCTGTAAAATCAATTCGGTGTATAAAAATATAGATGATTCTCAAATAAACCAATATTTGTGTATTGACGTTGTTAATCAGGTTATTATTCTACTTTATTGTACTGAGACAGTGTGTAATAAACTGGAAACACTGCTGTAGAAGTATGCAAATAGCTGCTTTTGATGATGCTTATTATAGTGAAAGTAAGAAATGCATATACCTAATTCACAGTAAGTTTATGCATCGTGAATTTATGCATATGAATAATTGTTTTACGTATTTGCTCAGAATTTCAAAAAGTAGCAGAAAAATGCAGATAAGCTTACAACAGACAAGTAAAATTTACAACTCAGTAACTGTCTTTGTTGAGCTATTAAAAGTAAAGGAAGTAGATAATGTAATACATGGATAATTCACAGTGTTAATGTTTTAATAATTATTATGGTTGAATGTAGATTAATGATATTGTTGCGTCAGCTGGGTCACATGACTAGTGTCACGCCACGTTTCTAGAACTATCCTGTACCTTCGTGAATGCCCTAGCATTTACTAGATATATGTTAGTCTGGTATATATATAAGACGCTCACAACGTGACGGGAATAATGTGTGTAGGTAATGAGTAATTGAACTGCAGTCAGAGAGAGACGTATTGTTGAAGTCGAGCTCGTGAGACGTGAATTATAGTTTGTTATAGCGCGATTGTTGAAGTTGAGTGTATCGTAAAGTTGTATTCGGAAAGAATAAACCAGTTTTATTTAAGAAAGGACTTGTGTCGCTAAAGTTTCGTCGGAACGAAGTTACGGAAAATTAATTAACAAACGGAAACGTAACAATATAATATCCATATTTGCAGAGTTCATTATTTGTAATAAAAAAGTACATCATTTAGCCAAAAAAAGGTAGATAGTACTGCAGTTTATTATTCCTATGTTGTCAAATAACCTTTGATCATCTGATTAGCTAACTATAAATCTGCACTCAGTTTGTTCCCGATTCTTTGTTGATTCTTCTACCAACGTTGAAATTGAGCCTTTACCTCAGTTTAATGAATCTTTCTTGTATTCAACAGCTCTTTATTATTTAAGGTGAAGATTGTGTATTTTAAATCTTTTCATACTACCTGGTTTCAAACCAACAAACTTAAAGTAATAAGTTGCCCTGAAATTACTTCTGACATGTGTTTTTGAACTATATAGCATCTGTTAATTACCTTAATATGACTTAAAGTTAGACTTACAAATTAACATACTTAGACCTTATTTTAAGCCTAATATTGAATGATAGAATAAGTGGATTTATTTATTTTACTATAAAGTAATACGGGCCCGGCATGGCCAGGTGGTTAGGGCGCACCAAACATGCTCGCCCTTTCAGTCATGGGGGCATTATAATTATACGGTCAATCCCACTATTCGTTGGTAAAAGAGTAGCCCGAGAGTTGGTGGTGGGTGGTGATGACTAGCTGCCTTACCTCTGGTCTTACGATGTTAAATTAGGGACGACTAGCGCAGATAGCCCTCGTGTAGCTTTGCGCGAAATTCAAAACAAACAAACAAACAATAAAGTAATACCTAAAAAGAACATGTATGTTGGCACTAACATACTTTTAGAAATAAAATATCAAACTATTATTTTTGACGTCGAAAGAAAAATGTGTCAAGAAAAGTGGTTTTTAGAGAGGAGGAAGAAGTGTTAGTAATATGATTTGCAAGTTGCAAGTATGATATCTTAAGTTAAAAAAACATTTAATACATGATTCCCTTTTGGGTGGGGTGGGGGCATAACTTCATACATTAGGCCAGGATTAATTTATTTTTCGTTTTACAATCCCGCCGACTTCAAAATTTTTATTTCTGAAAAAAAAAAAACAATTTTGCATTTCCATCTTTTTTTATTTCCGACGCACGATTTAATGTTTCCGAGAAAATAATAATAATCTGATTCCCGGTGATATGATCGAGCAAAATGCCGCCTCGGAAGTTAGAAAAAAAGGGGGGGATATCAGATATACACATATATCGTAATACTTCGATAAATTTGTGCTATTTTTACATATAAACGTGCGCCACAATCTTGGGCTCCTATTTCTACAATGCTACTTCGCAAATTAAAAAAACGATTAATTACGGTATTTTTCACTGCGCAGAGCGGATGAAATAGTAGTGCGTCTCGCGATCAAAATGGCGGTCAGGATCTCAGTAATTATAAAGAAAAACTTAGATACTGTGAGACTTTCAATACAAAAAATTAATTTGGATGACTTCATAGAGGGAACACTGAATGAAGACGAGAATATCGCGATCTGGGGGTTTCAGACACCTAAATTACATGCACGTTAGTAACTGATGGCGTTTTTGTTTTTCCAACTCTGACTCCTAGCTTTATTGGAAAGTATTTCGTAAAAATAAAAAACCGTGGCCTTAGTCTTGATGATCATTTTTTTGCAAGTGGTAATAATTTCACTTAAATTTCCACATTCTGACATCTGGATGTTCCTTTTGAACATTTTGTATTTGCCCACACTCCAATTAGTAAATATTCAGTTTAGTTAGAGGTTATTTATTGATAAGAATGTTTAAGTTGTAAAATTACATGAGATTTAGTTAACCAGAAGTATGTTGTTTACAAACAGCCGAAAATTAATGTACGTAGACTAAAAGTTGCATCATAATTGGGACAGATGTGTCACACATTAGCTTTTGATTAACATGACCTAATTTGATGAAGTTTTGTTGATAGGAACAAGGTCTTTAGATAAAAAGCCCTTTATAGGACAACCAGCAGTAATATGTTAACTGGAATGTTACATAATAGTTATTGAACAAAACGTTTTTTATATTCCTATTGTAACTAATGTAATTCTTTGACATGTTTTTTAGAATTTCTGTTATGGTATTAAAAGTTTACAAGAAGTATGCATATTTTTAACATAGAATAAATAATCCAGTAACGTCTTTTCCTTTTGATGCTTCGACTTCCTACAGGGGGATATCAGTGTGAACCAGGGTAAATATAAAACTAGTGATTCTGATTATTCCAATGACTGATTAATCAAATTTATGATTAAATTGATTGTCACAAAAATAATTAACTAATTGAAATTAGTGTTTTCGATTGTTCTAACAATTGATTAATCAAAACTTCGATTATATTAATTGTCATGAATATAACAACTAATTAAAATGAGTGTTTCTGATTATTCCAACAAATGGTGAACCAAAATTAAAATTGTGATGAAAATAATTAATCGAAATTGGATTTCCATTTATTACCATTTTTGATTATTACAACTATCTTAAGTAATTGAAATAATGCTATTATGTGTTTTTGTTGTTAAGCACAAAGCTACATAATATGCTATCAATGCCCTGCTCAATTTGTGCTTTATAAATTGTTTTTTTTTTTCACTTCGAGATTTTATAGCTTTGGTGATTCTAAGGTCTCAAATTCTGTTACTTTTGCAACCAAACTTGCTTGCCCTGTCTTTGTTATGGCAAAGCTACTGAGGCTGTATCTCATTGTCACTAATTTTGAACTGCTGATAAGACAACTGGCTGGCAGCACACTCTACCAATTTTTTTAAATTATTGTTTCTTCTTGAACTGCTGACTAAAAGGATGGCAACAGGCTAAGTAGTATCCAATTGCGTGTACATACCATGGATTAGAATTAATTAGGATAGTTTTATGATTAATTGAAAGTAATTGATTAATAAGGCTATTGATTAATCAATTAACAAATATCACTATCGCTTAGCTTTGTTACCGAGTAGTGTATCTCTCTAAAGGTTGTATGGTGTCTTACTGAGAAATATATTGTTGCGTCAGCGAGGTCACGTGACTAGTGTCACGCCACGTTTCTAGAAATATCTTATTCCTTCGTGAATGCCCTAGCATTTACTAGATAAGGGGTGGACTGGTATATATAAGGTGGTCACGGCGTGACGTGACAATATGTGTGTAGACAGTTTAGTAATTGATCTGCAGTCAGAGAGTATTGTTGAAGTTAACGTTTGTTTTAGCGCATTTGTTCAAATTAAGTGTATTGTAAAGTTATATTCGGAAAGAATAAACCAGTTTTATTAAGAAAGGACTTGTGTCGCTAAAGTTTCGTCGGAACGAAGTAACGGAAAATTAATTAACAAACGGAGACGTAACAAATTGGTGTCAGAAAGTGGGATAAAAAAATGGAAACGAGAGGCGGAAAATCAAATTACAGTTTAGCAGACTTGATGGCAGCAATACAAGAGCAGCAAAAGAAAGAAGAAGAATGAGAAAAG